GCAGCTCCTCAGCCCTCTTCACCAGCCAGTGTTAAGCTCCAAGGAAAGCTGCACTACAAGAGGCTGCATAGCCAGTGCACCGGTAACTCCCCTTTCAGAGCAGTCCTGTGTACGTAGAGGTAAAAGAGAGAAGCCACTCTAAGCAGCCAGCCCGCAACAATAGTCCCACCAGCTCCATCAGCCCCCACCCAAACTTGCTGTGTGGTTTTTTGTTTTTTTCCTGTTTTTTGTGAACTCAGTCCCACAATTCTTTTAAAAAGGATTGTGCCTACTAACCACGTGGCTTTGGGATTCCTGGTGAAAAACCCCATACACATAAAAAGGATCTTGTATAGAGTTGTTCTTCTTGTTGGGTAAACAGTTACCTTAAGTCAATAACAAATGTTATTAAAAACATTTTTTTTTTCAGTTTTAATACCTGTTTTTACTGGTTAAAGGCCAGATATCTGCTGTTCAGCAGCTCTGGAATTTCTCTCATATAAATTAATCACTCATTTCAACAGGTGGAGTTTTATGAAACTGAGAATGCCAGCAGTATTCGAAAGCAAAGGGCTTCAGTGACAAAAATGTCACAACGGGAAGAGATGGTTAAGAAATGTCTTGTGGAACTTACAGATGTTTGCAAAACTCTTGGAAAAGTTTTTGCTGTCCATTACTTCAATATTTTTAACACTGCTACACTCAAGAGAATAGCAGGTAATGTTTATCCTCATGACCAAAACTCCTATGGGGGCATACAGAGAAAAGGTCCAGGGCAGGATTTCTGGTTCAGGGCAGGATTCATCCCAGGGTGGGCTTACACTTGGTGGTGGCGGGCACGCTTTGTGACAGTTTGAAAGCACACTGATTGACTTCTATCCTTCAGCTTGCTGCTGATAGTAGTGTACATGCTAACTAACTGGGAGGCGATCTGCTGGAAGAGAGGCATGTGCGCTATTCTGCCCTGATTTCTTTAAACCCCCGTTCCTAAACTGTGCTCTGATGGGCATGATTAAGTGCTATTTGTCTACTGCGTATTAAGCTCTATAATGGAGCTCTTGAAAGAGTATTTAAGATTTTCTCTGATTGTTTGTTCCTTGTTTAGTATATGAATGGGAGTTGGTAGTTCTGACATCCTACTGATGAGCAACATATTGCCCATCTTCCAACAAAATTCCAAAAATACATCTAGTTGTCTGATTCAATCCTGTCTACACTTTACCTGAATTTTAAATCTACAAATGTTCCTTTGGTTTTTTTTGTTGTTTTTTTTTAAAGTGTGCAAAATCTGTTTTGTCTGATATAAATTTTATCTAATCAAAATTTCTTTACATCTGCATACAGAAACCTTGTCTTCTGACTCAGAGGTTTTGCTTCAGATTGATGGTGTTACAGAAGACAAACTGGAAAAGTATGGTGCAGAAATAATTCAAGTCATGCAAAAGTACTCTGAATGGACACTGCCAGGTATAGTATGCCTTGCATCCAAATGGGTGTGCTTTTTATTTAAAAGCCTTTTCTCTGTATGAAGTTACATAAATAAGGGGTCCATGTTAAAATACAGCTTTATGGCCTGTGTTCAAACTTTCATTTTTAAAAATTGTGGCTTTTCAGAGCACGGAAGCATCCTTAACTAAGAGGTGGGAGGGGAGGTGGAAGAGGAGAGATTCACTATCTATCTTAAGAAATAGACAGTGGTGGATAACTGGACTTCAGATGTCCTGGGTAAGAACAAGAGAAGAAGAGTAAGATTGCTCATCTGTTGGCCCGCCTTTCATGGCTGGGAGCATAGAGGAGATTTTCAGCCTTGAGGTGTATCGTGCACTGTAATTTTCCCATTCACATCAACTAGTTATGGGCTAGCATTGTAGCATGGGTGAACAAATCAGACTAAAGTTCTCCAATGACTCATGTGTTGGTCAACTGTAAATCTAGCAGAGAAAAGTGTAACCTGATTCAATGGTTGAAAGTTGAAGCTAGACAAATTCAGGCCAAAAATAAGGCATAAATTATTAGCAGGGAAGGTAATTAGCCACTGGAACTATTTATCAAGGGTTCTGGTGGATTCTCCATCACTGACCATTTTTAAATCAAGATTGCTCTAGGAATTATTTTGTGGAAGTTGTCCCAGACCATGTCCCAGTTGCATTAGTTTTAACAAAATGTCCATTTGTAGAAGACACTGACTCTTACCACACTGTGGACACGGACGCTGGAAAACGTGAGAGTGAGGAGATAGAGACACACACAACTTCTAGCTATTTTTGCAACAGCACAAACAAAGGAAAGAAGAGGAAAAGACCACCATTCTTCAGAGAATCCAAGAAGAAAAAAACAGGTTATGGTGGTAGCCAGCAGTCTCGTTCCAAGGGGTATGTAGTTTGTTAATACTTGTAACACGGATTTAACCAAAATAGCATGATAAAAATACCCACTAGAGTGTTGGATTAAGGTTGCTTTAATTTAATGTTGAAGAATATAGTCAGTAGGAAAACGGTGAAGGGGAAGAGAGGCATTAGCCCAGCCGCATGAAAAACATGGATTTGGAAGTATTTATAACCTCTTTATAAAGTCATTATTGTACAATGGTGATACTTCAGAAGCACACATGACTCCTGTGGAATCCCTGGATCTGAGAGGTGGTTGTCTCTCTCTGATTTCACACAAGGCTAGAATATGGAGTGCAGAGCAGATGATCTCTTCCTTGCTCTCCAGGCATCCAGGAGGGTAGCAGTGTCAGGAGAAATGCACCCCATGTAGCAGTGGGAAATGGGTTTGAAGCAAGAGACTGATCTTATGCATGACAATATGTTAAGGATTTCACTCCACCAATCTCATTTTAATCAAGTTAAGGTCCTGGAAGACTTGTATCCATTCCATAGAATTACAGTAAACTGAGGGATCCAGGGATTGAAAAAATCTTACATCACACTCACAACTGTTTTCAGATAATGAAAAAAATATTCTAAGCTTGATTCTGTGCCTTCCCTTTGAAATCTCCTTCTGTCTCCTAAAAATGGAAGTGGGACAGACGTTCCCCAGTTATTTTTCCATCTGGAATCTCCAGTAAATATATCTTTTAAATGCTAAGCAGCCTGCCAGAGCCCTGAAATTTAGGTTCATTACTAAACATTAGTTTTGTGGTTTTCAATACAGTACACAACTGCAGATGTGCTGGTGGGGCAAATGTTCTTGTTTTCCTTTGTCACTGTAATTGGTGACATCTGTATTTCCCAAAAGCTCCTATCAAAGTTGCATGCTTTGCAGCAGTTTTTAATTCTGATATTAACTTAAAGCAAGCCACAATTTTATTGGCATACCTTTCCACTGTTTTTGAAACTTTTGCAGGCAAGGCAACAGATCGAGCAAAATTTAAAGAGATGCTGTCAGGAATCTTTTGTTTATTTTTTGCTTACTCACTTGGAATTAGTGCTAAAAAAATGATTTTGGAAGCTTGAGAATTAGTTTTGTCTTTCTGGTTTTTCCTTTTGTAAACATTTTATCTTCCTCCCCCTTCTTTTGCCCACAGCTTCTCACATAGAGCACCCAACAATATAGCTCTGCTTCACTTCCTTATCTGTATACTATTGGTATTGGTAGCATTAAATTGTGTTTCTTAATTTGTGCTCCATTTGTTCACTATGGATACATATATACCACCCGAACAAGCAACCTTGTAGGTCCTACGTACACAATGGCTATTTAAGCATTCATTTATTTCTTGCAACAGCAAGGAGGATTTTGAAATACAGAGGACATTTCCCCCAGAAGTTGGGGCTTAAACTGTATGGTGGTTTGCTGCTTAACTTTCTGGGTTAAATGAATTTATTCCATAACAGCAGTATTTAAAACATTTGACAGAGAAGGTCTGAAGTTAAAATGAGTCATGAGAGACAAACTGCATTTGATATAAACAAGATTAGTGCAAACATGTTGTTTTTACCCAATAAGTTTCCTCTTCTAGATGAGAATCACAGGGGAAAAAACCCTGGATAATGTTAATACATAACAGTTACTTAAGTCTAAAGACACTGGAAACTAAATGTAGGTAATACTCATTTTAGAAAATTAGAAGGAAGCTGGAAAGCACAGAAAAATTGTCTGGCCTCATTAAGGCATTCAGAGATCCATCTTCAAAATGGATCTTTTCTACTCATACCATAAAGTTCATATCAATTGCTCCCCCCAAAAGCTTTTACCTTAATTGTGCAGTGTCTGCAAAGATTCCCATCTTCTCCATGCTCTTAGGTAACACATTTTTATTCTATTTTTATTCTTGAATTGGCAAAATAAATGATTTCCCACTATTCACAAAGATTACCTATGCCAGCAGCCAGAGGTGTTTTTTACGTAGCACTAGCACATCTGCATGAACGAACATGCTAGGTCCAGATCAGAAAATAATGAAATTTACGTGGGAAGAGCAAAGGTTACCTTCTGGTTCATTTGGAGATGTTATTCACACTTACCCTCCTAAAAACTACTGTGTAGTGTTCCAGGCACAAAACATTGTGGCATCCCACCACAGAAGGGGAATAGTAAATGGTGGGTGAAATAGTTATGGAGGGAACTGATCGTATAGCACTTTCTATTATAAAGGATTCTTCTGACCTTTTTTCTGAGACACACTCAGACCTTCATTGTTTGCAGCAGCCTTTGATATTTGGCTTGAGCTAGGGAAGTGCCTTTTCTTTGTTCCCTGCAATCCCATTCAACTTTTTGCTGACATATAAATTACTAAAAATTGCCATTTCCCTTCTCCTGTTTACATAGCTCATCATGAGAAAATAACTGAACACAATAACATTCCAAAGTGCTCATCTCACACCACCACCAAATCATCATTAGCAGATACTATACCTGGGGTTGCCACAGAACAGCTGTAATTTGTGGGGGAAGGGGACTGAGTTGGGATCCTTGGACCCAGCAGATGGCCCTAATAGATCCATAGCCCCCTCTGGGTGCACCTGCATGAGGCAGAAACCAGGCTGGGTTCTTCCCCATCCCTTCCACATAAGTACCTGGCTCCAGTTGCACCATCCCCCGGATTCACCATATGAAGCAGGAATGCCAAGTCCTGGAGATGAACAGAAGGCTAGGCTGGATTTAACTCCATTCTTCATGGACCCAGAAGTCCATCCTCCCTCTGGGATGACAGCCTCCTGCTGCCAGTTAAGTTAGCCCTGGAGCTCAAGTGGTAGCAGCCTGTGCTGTAGGTTCATGGTACAAACCCTGATAATGATGGATCGGGGGGTGGGGAGAGGGGAGGAGAAGAGGAATGGTGGTTAGTTACGCTAGTAAATTTATTTTTTCTTTTAAAATACAGTTAGAAAAACATACAGAAAATTACACTAAAGGTCAAGCACGTGAAAGTTAGGAGATTCCAGATTTATGGTTATCTATAACATTAATTCTGCCCCCTTGTGCATATGCATTATGGAACAGTCTAGGTATATGATCATATGCAGTTTTTCCTCAGGATTCCTGCCCATTCAGTGTACAGGATGGACATGCAGGAGTGCAGACTTTATTGTACAGGCAACCATAGATCTGGCATTTCTTAACGTCTGAGTGCTTGACTTTGCATTTTAAACAACATTCTTTTAACAAGCTTTGTATGTAATTCCTATAAGGTCTGTAAATTGCTTTGGTAGCTTTCCTAGATCAGGGGAATCAAACTCATTTGGAGGACAGGGCCAAATTGTATAATTAATTATAGTTCTTGAGCCTGGCTATACAATCAGGACTATATACTCACAATGCAGTGGAACACCCACTGATGTCAGTAGGTGGTTTTCAGAGCGCAAGAAAAGACAATGGCCTGTATGTACTGATTATGTTCAGTTATTTATTCAATGCCTTTATTGAGAGAAAATAAGATCTCCTTTAATCCCACTGCTGTTTCTGCCCTCTCCTTCTCTCTATCTTTTCTGGATTTCCTCCTCTGCAGGAACTCCCAATTTCCAATCCAGTGAACTTCCCTACCTTTCTATCCTCTAAAATGATCAGTGATTTCAGTATTTAAAGTTGTCACTAAGGTGTCATTTAAAGTTGTTCCACTAATCAGATTAATAGAGGAAAAGGGACTTCACCCTTTTGCATGACTGTTTCAGGCTGTCCGCAGACATCATAGCCTATATTACACTTGGTTCACCTTTAAAAGGTTACTTCTGCACCCATGAGCGTTAGAAATTTACTTTTGTTTTTAAATGAAAGATTAGATTCTGGAGAATATGAACGTGTTTATGCAAGCCACATCATGCCGGTGGATTTGGCACATGGGTCATATATTTGACTCTCTTAGATAAAATGTAATATACAGGTTTATGGTATTGGTTATCATGTTGATATGCTAAATCATCCTTTTTTCTCTACATTTGTAGGGGTTATATCAACAACAAAAAGGTCTCTTCTAACGCCAAAGCCCAGACATCATCAAGATACAATTCAACATCTTATGGTGCTACAGTCATGCCAGGAACCAGTAGGAAACTGGGGATTATGGCACCACCAAAGCCCAAAACCAGACAATTCCTTAAACCTTCCTACTCACTACTGTAACTACTAGAATGTAAATACTGTATAAAGCTACAAGCTGTCAGCATTTCCATTGACTTCCAGTTTTTCAAATGTATTAAAGCTTTGACATCATACATCTGTACAGTACAAAGAGTGTATTTGTTTAAATAAATGCTTTTAGATAAATGCATCTCTTTATTTGGAACTTTTAATTCTTCCCTGATGCTAAATATTCTTCTTATAAAAAGAACATGCTAATTTTGATTGATTATAGAAGACTTAGTAGTTATTGATCATTGTAAGAATGCTCTAATTCTTTGAGAACTGCCTTTCTCTGATTCCACATATGGGATGTATATGACTGTAGCTCAAACCCAGTTACCAGCCGTGATGGTTGGAGCCACGAACCTCATTGACCATACTAATAAAGGATGATATCCTTCAGTAGTTCAGGGCCAGCTAGCTGGTCTTGAATGGTTTTCTATAAAAAAAAAATCTAGGTTTTAGGATGACTTTCTTAGTTTGAGGTGTTTAGCTTAATTTAGTTTTAGTATCATAGTCCTGGATATTTCCCCCACATCTCCTGGGTCTAGCAGCCCCTTGGGGCATTTGAAGTGTTGCCAAGAGTATGTGTGAAAACTGCAAGGCTTTATAGTCTGTCAGACACATAAGTGCTGCCTGAGCTAAGGGCATTCTTTGGATCTTACCTGGCTTGTGGTGGGGTTTCCTTCAGAGCTTCAAAACACCCTTCTGTCCTCATGAGCTCTGAATTGCATCAACATAGGTCCACATCCACACTTGATAAAATTGCACTTTCACCCCATCCAATTTATTTAAATGCTTCACAGATTTTTTAAGCCTGGAAGGGACCATTATGACTATCTTGACCTGCATAACACAGGTGAGAGAATTTCACCAACTCCTGCATCAAACCCATAACTTCTAGTTGAGCTAGAAACACATCTTTTAGAAAGACAAGCAATCATAATTTAAAGACTTCAAGTGATGGATAATATACCACATCCCTTTGTAAGTTGTTCCAATGGCTAATTACCGTAACCATTACAAATCTGCCTCTCATTTGTAGCCTAAATTTGTCTAGCTTCAGCTTCAAGCTATTGGCCCTTATTCTTTTGTCTCCTAGCTTTAAAAACCCCTATCAAATTCTTCTCCCTGAGCAGGTACTTGTAGACCACGGTCAAGTCACTTCTTAATCTTGTCTTTAAAGAAAATCTATTTACTTTAACAGTTTCACTGAAGGCAGGTTTTTCAGACTTCTAATCATTGTAGTTCTTTTCTGAACTCTCCAGTTTGTCAGCATAGGCTTCTTCTCATATTAGCATCACTTCAACTGTACCTAGTTTGTTATATGGACTTCTCTACCTCTCTTAGGCAGTGGGAAAGCATAGAAATTTCCATATTCAAGATTTTCACTGAGCTTGATACTCAACCAACATAGAAGGTGCTGTAGATACTCTTACTATGTTCCTAATGGTCATACATGCATATTGAACAGGAGCAATGAAAAGCTGCAGCTTTACGGACCACCAGGAGTTTCCTAGGTAAAGCATAGTGGCAAGTACCCATCACCTTCTCTAAGATCTCCAAAAAGGAAGGAAAGAATCTACCTAAAGCCGCCCACTTGTGAAATTCTGAAGGCAAATCAACAAAATGTTGTGGACTCAAGTTACCAAAATCTCTTGATAAATCTAGGAAAGACATTTTACCTTCCTCTATTGCCAGGAGAAGATCTAGTTCATCTACTCTGGGACTAATGCACAAATGCTCTCTGTTCTGTATAATACCAGCTAATGGGCTTCTTCACTTCTGTCAGGAAAGGTTGTGGAAATTTGTTTACATACTCTCCACTCTTATTTGGCAACATAGCAACATACTGGTAACCATCTGAGGATAAGAAAAATCTCACCTGATCTCTATTCAACTCCTACATTTTCTAGTGCTGTATGGAGGCAAGTTTTAAATGAGCCAAGCAATGTGCTTTTCACCCCTACCCTGCCATGCTATGCTAGTCTGATTAGCTATTACAAGCTCCCCTTAATTACATTTCATCTCATTCTTTTACCTGTTACTTCTTCTCCCTCATTAAACCATTACTTTCTAATCATTACTGATCACCATAGTATTATGTGCTTGCAAAAGCATGTTTCTTTATAACAGGACTCCAGCCTGATATATGGAGAGAGTCCAGCGGAGGGCAATGAAAATCATGAGGCGGCTGGGGCACAGGAATTACAAGGAGAGGCTGAGGGAACTGGGCTTGTCTAGTCTGCAGAAGAGAAGAGTGCGGGGGGGATTTGATAGCAGCCCTCAGCTACCCGAAGGGGGGCTCCAGAGAGGATGGAGCTGGGCTGTTCCCAGGGGTGGCAGATGACAGAACAAGGAGCAATGGTCTCAAGTTGCAGGGGGGAGGTCTAGGCTGGATATTCGGAAACACGATTTCACGGGGCGGGGGGTGAAGCGCTGGAATGGGATCCCTGGGGAGGTGGCGGACTCTCCATCCTTGGAGGCTTTTAGGGTTTTTGACAAAGCCCTGGCTGGGAGGAGGACGCGGGTACCCAACAGGCGTGGGGGGGGGGGCAGCGTTGATGTTGGCGCCGCTGTGAGCCGGGGGCGGGACTGGATGGCTCCTGAGGTCCCTTCCAGCCCTGGCCTTCGCTGAGTCCAAACGCTGGAAACCCCTTGGGGCCGGGGGGGCTGCCGCAGCCCTGGTCCCGGCACCAGCGCCGGGGGGCCCCGCGTTTCCTCTCGCCCGCCGGGGGCGCCTCTGAGGGAAGCGTCGCGCGGCGCCCGGCGGGGCGAGCTCGCTGCGCGGGCCGTGGCGGGCGGGGTCTGTGCGGGCGGCTCGCAGCCCCGGGCCCCCCCGCGCCGTTAGGTAACCGCGCCCCGCCCCCTTGCACAAGCGGGAAGGGGAGGCCCCCGCCCCCGCCGGGGAGATGCCGTTGGCCGAGGCCGGGACGCTCGGGGCTGAGGAGCCGCTCTCGCCGCTCGCCCGGCAGCGGACGCAGGTCAGGCGGTTGGGGCGGCCGGAGCAGACCGGCCTCTTCCGCCCTCAGCGCCTCCGGCGCCGCCCCAGGGACCGCCCCGGCTGGGCTCGCTGAGCCCCGAGCGAGCCCGGCCCGGGGGCGGCCGCCGCCCCGCTCCCTTCCCCGGCGGCAGCGCCCGCCGGGCCGGGCCCGTTCCTCGGCAGGCTCCGCTCCCTGGCGTTGGGCGCGCCTTTGTACAGCGCCGGGCACCCACGCGCCGCTGAGCCAGAGCGGGCCGGGCCCCCCCACCCCGGGTGCGAGGGAGGAAACCCAGGCAGCAGTTGCGTTGCCTGGAGGAAAGAAAACGCCGTGGCTCCGCGGCTGGGCGGGACCGGGTCGCCGTCCCGCCACCTGCTCCTCGTCTGAAGGGGCTGACCCTGCCCGGGCGCGCCAGCCCCTGCCCGGCGTCTCCTACCGGGGCGGCGGCGGCGGCCTGTCACCGGGGAACCCGTCGGCCGCGGCTGCCCGCCGCCGTGCGCGCCGCCGGCCCCGCGCAGCCAGGCGGGAGGGTCGGGTCGGGTCGGGTCGGGTCTGTGCGCGCGCGCGGTGCACCTGGGTCTGGCGGGGGGCGGGGGGCGGCTCTCCCCACCGCCCGGGGTCTCGGCCGTGCCTGGTCCCGGAGGACGGAGGGCCAGCCCTCTGCGGGCCGCGGGACCAAAGCCGGGGCGATGTTTCCATCCCCGTGTTGTAAGCGCTTCCTGGCCACTGCATCGGAAGGAGCTGCCGGCGAGGCTTGCCCTGTGAGCAGGGACCCACCAAGAGGCTGGGAAGGGCCCTTCCTTTTGGGAGGAAAGCTCCACGCCTTGGGCTCCGTCTATAAGGCAGGAGAAAAGGCAGCAGCAGGATTTTGTTTTGTTTTTTTACGCTGAAGCGTTTGTATATTTAATATGCCACTGGTTTTCACATGATCTGTGCCTGTTGCTAGTTATGTGGAGGCAAGTTACAGGAGCTGAGCTCCAGTGCAGGTTTCGGAGGAGCAGCCCTGTTAGTCGGTACCCGCGGAAAGAACAGGAGCACTTGTCGCTCCTTTAGAGACTAACGCATTTACTTGAGCATAATTATATTTTTCTCTACGTCATTTGTGTAGGAGCACACACCGAAAGACAACCCCAGTATGAGCTATGTATCAGAAAAAGCTGAACGAAGAGCAGTTTTTGGAAAACAAGTGAAAGTTCTTCTCACCCCCTTATCCATGGAAGAAGAGAAACGCAACAAACGTCTGCCCCAGAAACGCTTACTAGAAAAGTTTTCTAGTACTGAAGGGCCTTCAGAAAGAGAACCAAAAGTCAAAAAATCCCGCGATGATCCCACAAGTCAGCAAATAAGAGATGTATCCTACAAGGCTTCTTCCAGTCCACAAGGAGTAATCCCCAGTATGTCTTCACTTCATCATAAAAGTAGGATGGTGTCACCCACAAACGCCTCAGTTACAGTTGATCATGATTCAGAAAACAATTGGGATACAGACAGTGAAGGAAGTAATTCCGATGTCTCTTATGTGGTAAGAAACCAAACATTTTTTGTGACTATATTCTCTTTTGCTTTTAGCTTCCTCTGTATATTCTTAGCCTAGCCCTCAATTTCTCTTATTTGGCATCTTTTACATTTTGAAACTTCAAGTATTGATGATTTTGTAAACGAGGAACTGTTTGCCCCCTAGAAAATAGCAAAAGGAATAAAATTATTGTACTGTTTTTAAGGGAATGCAATTATTTTACTTCATTTTTTTTAAAGATAGAAAAAGAAGACCATGTTTTTCATAATTATTCAATATAAGTTATTCATTTTTACATAGCCCTCCGTTTTAGATCTTTTTCTTAACAATACATATTGGTTGTAGATAAATAATCTTGACAGTCTGTAATGTATGACAGGTTTCAGAGGAACAGCCGTGTTAGTCTGTATTCGCAAAAAGGAAAGGAGTACTTGTGGCACCTTAGAGACTAACCAATTTATTTGAGCATGAGCTTTCGTGAGCTACAGCTCACTTCATCGGATGCATACCGTGGAAACTGCAGCAGACTTTATATATACACAGAGAATATGAAACAATACCTCCTCCCACCCCACTGTCCTGCTGGTAATAGCTTATCTAAAGTGATCAACAGGTGGGCCATTTCCAGCACAAAAGAAAACCTGGTTTTTTTTGTGCTGGAAGTGGCCCACCTGTTGATCACTTTAGATAAGCTATTACCAGCAGGACAGTGGGGTGGGAGGAGGTATTGTTTCATATTCTCTGTGTATATATAAAGTCTGCTGCAGTTTCCACGGTATGCATCCGATGAAGTGAGCTGTAGCTCACGAAAGCTCATGCTCAAATAAATTGGTTAGTCTCTAAGGTGCCACAAGTACTCCTTTTCTTTTTGTAATGTATGAGAGACTATTTCTTTCAAGCAGTCATAGCTAAACAAAATCCCGACAGCAAAAATCCAACCTAAGGTCTTGATCCTGCCACTGACTCCACATGGGCCTTCCTGAGTAGTATCAGTTTCAGGATTGGCTCATAAAAGTTTTGTTACCAGAAAAAGAAAATTATTCTATTTTATTATCCTATTGACCAGTATTGTCTTGTCATTTCCTTGTACTCTGTCTGTCTAGCCATCTGTTGTCTCTTCTCTTAAGCTTAGATTGTAAGCTGTTTCGGGCAGAGTCTGCCTTTTTGTTCTGTAGTTGTACAGGATTTAGTACAGTGGGTTTCTGGTCTGTCACTAGGGCTCCTAAGTGCTATGGTAATCCAAATAATAATTTTCAGACTGTACCACATTCCCCTTTTTCTCTAAGGTACCAAGAAATAACACACCGCTTACTCCATTTGCATCCAGTATTTTGCTTATGAATATAACTGAAAGATGTATATCTGAATAACTCCACTCTTATAAAGACTTTAGTTACCTTTAGTTCTAAAAAGGACTCAATTTTTCTATAAACAATACCATAGACAACTATTATAAGACAGCCTAATATCTGTATTGTTGTACATTTCAGTGTTGTATAATTGCCTCAGGCTTTCATTTCTTATTTATCAATGTAATATTAAAGATATTATTGAAATAATTTTAACATCCATAAAGAACTTTGAGACTAATCTTTAACACTCCATCTTCATAAGTGTGTGCCTGAGCTGAGTGTGCAAAACACTCCTATCCTGATACAAAACCAGCTTGGCTTCGGTCAATATGTGCAATTAAAGGTTTTCTAAAGTTACCATATTGACTAGCTCCCCCACATTTTTCTTCAGATCTTCTTCAAAACTCAGCAGGTGTGCCTTCAAGAAATTTAATTCAGTCACCATTCCTTAAATATCAGTCTCTGGGGCTGGTCTGTTTTATCCTTTCCTGTTGTGGTGTATCTCTTGGGGGGTGGGAGGGAGAATGCTTCTGCGGCAGGGTAAAACAAAGAATCCGCAGCTTCTCTTTGTATTAAGGCAAAATATAAATTGATATTCATGTTTGTGATTGGACACTTTCTGGCCACACTGATGGAGCTCTCTTAAAGCAGTACTGCCTAGGAGTTTGGTGTAATGTGCCACTTTTCCCCCGTTCCTCCCTATTCTGTTTTAACCAGTTTGTCAACTTTCTAGTGTTTTGTGCCTTTTTGCTTTTAATGACCGCATACTTTAACAGTTGTTTGGAAATGGAGGAATGTCAGGTACTCCTCACTATAAAGTAACATTTATTGTAAGAGAAGTTTGGAACCTAAAAAAAAAAAAGGCCATGCAACTTTGTACAGTGCTTTATTTTCTCAACAGTCCAGGCCTTTTTTGTGCACTCCGTGTAATATCCTAAACATTATCCTACAGAGTAATTGCTTTTATTTATTTGTGCAGGATGGATCTTCACAGCTGTCAGCCTATGAAAGAAAAAGACTAAAGAACATTACAGAAAATGCTAATTTTTTTGCTTCTCTAAAGCTGCTTGAGGTTTGTATGATGTCTCCCTAGAATAAGAATAAAATTGTCACTCTAAACATAATAGAAATTGCCATACCAAAACTGACCCATAGTTCATTTAGTTATGAAACATGTCTCTAACAGTGACCTATACCAGATGCTTGAGAGAGAGGCATAAAAACTTCACAACTGACTTTGCAATGATATATTGCAATGATCTCCCACGGTGATCTGATTATACTTTGTGCATACTTTTTGATAGGGCTCTATTTTTTTTTGAAGGTGGGATTTAATTCATTAATATGTATAAAGTACTTTAAATTATGGAAAGCATTATAATTGCTATGTATTATACTGCTACACAGTGGAGGAAGTAATCCAATAAATTAAAGTAGTGACATTTTAAATGTTATCTACAGACACGGGTCCTGCTCTTCCTCTCCTTTCCAGGTTCCTTCTCTCTCCTGTGTTCTGTTCTGTTCTTCCTCATAGGTCCACTCTTGCATTAAGGAGTAAGCTCCTTCCTTGAAAGGTCACTCCTTTATTCACCCAGAGCTGGTTCTGCGCAGTCTCTGCTGTTTCTTCTCACAACAGAGCTAGAAAAGCTGGAGATGGAACTGTTCAGTCCCAGGCGCAGAGAGCCCTAGCTGGGAGGAAATAGGGC